GAATCAGAGAGCAACAGTCTGAGATGCAAAGATAAAAGAGTGGAAGAGACATGAGAGGAAGGGAGGCTACAAAAAAATAAAAATAAACCACAAAATTTAAAACTGTATTGGAAGTTTCAAAGAATAGAATTGAAAATTTAAAATATGGGGGATAAACCTTAGAGACAGAATGGAAAAGTAAAGGTTAAAAAGAAGACTGTAAGACAAATGACTAATAAGAGATTATCTTGTAATTATATGGATGTTTAAGAAGACACAGAAAAACTAACAGCAATAGTTTTAAAAACAAGTAACATACCTCAGGAAAAAAAGTTTTAAAACCATATAAATAGGTAAATTCTGGTAATTTTTTAAAATTTAAAAATAGTATTAGAACTCAAACATGAACCAAGTCCAAAAAAAAAAAGCTTCCTAAAACTAAATCAAAATTAAGCTCCTTCAAACATCTTCTCTACAGAACAAAAGGTCAGGAAACCACAGAGTAATAGTACAGAATTTTGAGAAAACAGAGCTGTTAGCTAGGAATGTTGTACTACAGTACTGGCTGGCTTTCTTGGGTGAAGCCACTGGGAAAACACACTTGCATACAAACAACCATCTTCTCTCCCTGAGAAAAATCATCTAAAAAAATTAGTATAGTCATTGAGGAAATAGATAAAAATTCAGAACTGAAAAATGGGGAAACTATAGTCCAAAAACTTTTTGGACTAGATGAGTTTGGTGATGGCCACTACAGTTCTGGATGCCCAAGTGAGTCAGGTGAGACTGATTTCACACCGCTCCATGGCTGTGCCTCTTTGGGGGCATTAGGGCACGAGCTCATGAGCCCATGAACACCCACAGTTTATGCGGACTTCCTCGAATGTGCTATAATCCCTTCAAACCATGTCTGCTGCAGCACTCCTCCAGGGCTTGCTAGTTATGGCTCATTCATCAGGGGAACACTGCCCGAATGACTCTTGAACAAGAAGTAAGTTTCCCTCCTACAAAAACACAGTAGAAAACACCGACTAGATTAAATGCCAAGAACTTGAATAATGTTTCAAATCCCCACATACAGAAGCCTGTTTTTTGTTTTTTATTGGAATAGGTTAATCTATTTCAAAGCACATTATTTATCATTTTAGTCTGGGCCCGTTCATGGTGCTCCCTAAGGATGCTTTCTTTGCTTAGAAATTAGGATGTGTTGTACTTCATAACAAATGGCTGGCCTCTGTATCCTCAGGATCCATATCTGTAGATTCAAATAACGTCAGATCAAAAATATTTGGAAAACTTGTGTCTGTATACCGCATGTATTTCTTTCCTTGTCACTGGTCCCTAGAAAAAATAATATCTACATGCCACTTATACTGTATTAGGTATTACTGAGAGATGATTTAAAGCACATAGGGGAATTTATATTATATGAAAATACTGTGCCATTTTATGTAAAGGACTTAAGTATCCAATGATTTTTGGTACCCTCAGGGAATCTTAAAGCCAATCCACCACACTCCAAGAGAAGACTCTAGAAGCACAGAAAAAGATGTGGGGAAATGCACCATGATGTATGTAAGTGGTGACCATCTCACAAGGTGCTAGAATTCTAGGAAATATTTTTCCCTTAAATTCTTTGCCACTTTCTAGATTTTTTCAGTGATTACATATTAGCCATATCATCTTTAAAATGTTACAAAAATCAAGACAAATCTGTTCAAAATACTTGTGAATAGATGAAGTATCACACTCATTTAAGAATACAGACAATAGCTTGCAGCAGGGTATAATTAAATGTTAAGATTCTGGGTAATATTATTTGTGTTTCCCAGGTACCTATTACTTTCATGGTTAAAAGAAAAAAGATGGACTTTATTAAAAGAGAAAAGTAAGAAATAATTTTAAAAACTGTCTCACTAAATAATTTATTCATTTAAGGAGAAAAGGTAATTAATAAATAAAAAACTCCACCAGTGCTATTCTAGTAAGTAAAGTGTATTAAATATATTTTCCTTTAATTCATATCTTTTATTATCTTCTACTTATATCTCTATTTATAAAAAATATACTAATCATTAAATTTGAAGCTTTAAAAACTCTGAGCGCTCATGCCCATTTTGTGATTTAAGTTCCATTGCCTAGAATTCCAGTGAAATGTTGCTAAAAGGCTGATACTTCCCCCACAAGTGGCCAAAACTACAAGTCAAATGCTTTAAATAGATTTGATTACATGGGTGGAAAGACTCCCATGTTCCACAGTATTTAAAGGTGCTTGTGCTGAGTGTTTTCTTTTGTTTTGGTGGGTACCAGGAATCAAGCTCAGGACCTTACGCTTGCCAGGCAGGTGCTGCGCCACTGAGCTCTATCCCTGGCCTAGTTTTCACCTTTCTTCCTGCTCTCTAGTCGTTCTACTTTGGTTTTTCAGTCTATGCATCTTTTGATGTTATAATTCTGCATTTGGGGAGGACTTGTTAACTTCATAACTATTGGAATAAATAAATTCTCATAGACATTTACCCTACTCCATCCTCAAGCATTTCCATTGCAAATGCAACACAACAAATGGTATTTCAATTGTATCATTGTATTAAAATTATTGCAGATATCTTCAAATCCTGTAATGGCATAGAGGGAAAATTTCAAAAAAGTAAGAACTATTGACAGTAGCTAAGGAGAAAATCTCTGAAATTCATACAATATAATGGTTATTCTCACTTAAGCTGAAAGTCTTTCATCTGGCTACCTCCTGTCAAAGTTCTCCTCTGAACTCTTTTCCTACATTATATAAATGAAATACAGCAAAGTAATAGACAAGGAAAAATAGTCAAGAAGTAACCCTAAATATAGAAACCAAATTTTCAAACTGACTTTCTTGCAAATGCCTTACTAGTAAGTTCGTGTATTCTTGCGGGTAGTAACTTATTTTGCCTTTGGTGGTACGTGCTAGGTTGAAATGGATTACAAAGACCCAAAGTACATTTTATAATCTCACTTCTCTCACAGAGTAATAGGTAAGAAATATCTGGAAGAAAGAATCGGTTTCAGAAAATCTTTCTATGGTAATTTTGAGAACAAAAGAGGTAGTAAGTGGCCATGAGTGGTGAGTGAGGCAGATCATAAATCCAGACTGCATATGTTTTTATTGTTGTGAAAATAAAAGCTAAAATAATGCCTATTGTAGGACAGTTTCCTTGCTCCAGGGCCAAAAAGTTTCATTCGTAGCTTATTTGCACATTAAAAAAGAATTAAAGACACTTTGGGAACAGAACATTTTGGAAACACGCCATCACTACCAAATTATGCACACCCATGCTTCTCTACCATCACTGGAGGTACACGTTCAGCCTTTCAGGGTCAAAGTCAAAGAACAGTTTGCCTCAATGGATACTGCAACTTTGAATTTGCCCCTGACAGCATTTGTTGTAGGGCTTCTTCCCAGTGCTTTGGAAGCCTTTTGTTTTATTTTGTTTTGTTTTACAAATATGGACATGAGAGTTTTATCTTGATGCCATAAAAAGACAACTCCATGCTAGCAGTTGTTGCCTAAACCAATAACATCTAGACAGTCAAGACATAATATTTAGATTTTAAAGTTTTTACACAACTGGCCAGAAAGACCATGTAAAAATCGATTTACTATTCACCTGACTCTGTTGGAAAAGACATCCTTCTTGTGCAAATAGTTTAATCTTGATTAATACTAAGAGAGAATAACATCCAAAGACATATCTCTTGTCTGGAGAATAAAGGAACAGTATAGTTCTCAAACAGGAAAGTATTTGTCATTTGCCTACATAATTCATTTTGTGAATAACTTGTCTAGGAATATAGTTAGAGAGCAAGGCTGATAAAGGGACTTCGTGATGCCAGACGGATTTTCATGATAGCAAGAAAGGGAAAAATGTGGTTTTTCTTATGAAAATGTATGATCAGGAATAAAACTTAATATAAGTTTACTTTTACTATTTTTTTCAAATTTGTTTCCCAGGGGAACAAAAAATTCAATACAAATTTGCTGGTTAGAAGTACCCAAAATTGTCACATTGGTATCGAAAACAATGGTAGCAAGTTAAGGAGTAAACAATACAGAATACATAGCTGATTCTCATCGTAACAGCCTTTCTTTTATTTTTGGTACCAGGAATTGAACTCACAACCTCACGCTTGCTAGGCACTGTGCCCATGAGCTAAATCCCCGCCCACAGCCTTCTTATTTATTGAGTGTTTTGGAACTAAAAGGAAAGAGAACCTAAATTTCCAAAAACACCTGTTTAGTGTTAATAATATAAACAAGAATAAAATGGTCACTTTATACTTTTAGAATGTCCATGTATTTTTCAGGATCAGGCTACATGACCTTTAAACATTGGATGTGACACAGTTTCTTTTGAATGGCCATGAATACATCAACTGAGATTTAACATAGAAAAAGCAGGAGTGTATGAACACAGTACCCTTTGGAAGGACAGAGCTTTCTCATGACACTTTCCTAGAGAAGTAGGTCGGCGGTAACATTGGTGCGTCATTCAGTGAAAGGAGAAATTCACAGGTCAAAAGAAAACCCATCTCAAAGCAGGAAAGATTCACCGTTTCCACAGAATCTATGGAAATAAAAGGAGTTCTTTCTTTCTTTTGTCTACAAACCTGAATGTGTTGTTAATCTTAGCCATCACTGCCCTCCCATGAAAAAAGATTTCCTTTCCCTCTACAGCATTTGCTATCCTCTATACCTGCTGTGTTTGCCAATAAAGCAATCACTATTCCCAATTTCTGCAGGGAAAACACTTCAAAATAGTTTAAATAGAAACTTTCTAAAGTTTCTCTTCTGAAGAACACTTTTTTATGTTCAGTATTTTCCACTTATATTTTTGAGTTAAGTCTTAGGTAAAACTAAATTCTGCAAAACTAAATTTGCCAAATTTGCTAAGTAGCGCCAAACTCTTCACCACAGTATTATTATTTCAAGACAGAATTCAGTTTACAATCAAGAGAAAATGAAAACTCAGTCTTGTGGAAATTACCTCATCTGCTTCTTTCTTTTCTCCTGATTTGGGTGCTGATCCACTGGTCTTTTCACTGACATGCTAAAAAAGAGTTAAAGAAAGAAAGATAATGTTTACCAGAGGAAGTGATAAAGATAATATGCCTTTAATACACAAAGGCTAAATGCACAGACTTTAAATACAAGCACCCCTTTAATCTTCCTCTGAGATATTAGTTAATTCTACACAGAGTAGAAGGCTTTCAAAAGGGATGATACAGACATTCATCTGGGATCTAGAAAGTCACTCTGTAATTAACCAGTTACCAAGCTCATGGCCCTACCAACACAGCATCCTGTCTCCTACAAAATGTCTCAGGCAATTTTGCAGCCCAAATTGCCAGTATGGGAGGTGTCTGCTTCATCATGAGGATGAGATCTCAAAGAACCGTGTTGCATCTGAAGCCATACTTAAGCCTCAGTGCAGCAGGGACATAAGAGTCCACCACAACATTGCAAGTCACCCGTCACTTCCAATAGCTCTTGGAAATTCCCTAGCGTTCTTCCATCTGAGTATTCACCTCTACACAATGATAAAATCTGAAAACGAAACATGCACCTGGTACTTATTATGGCTTTAGAATTTCGTTGTCTAGAAACAGAATAATTTTTTTAACTAAGACATTAGGAATGAATGTAAATATTTTTACATGGAACATAAAAGTTTACATGCTCATCTGTCTTGGTGGTAAAGTAAAATAAACCCTAAAGTTTGCTAAATTTCTTCAGAAATGAAAAATATTTGTATGTTCCCTACAATTGGATGGATATAAGGAATTATTTCATTCCTTGCATTTTTTAAGACATACAAGACAGTAGGAGAAGGGATCCAAATGTGAGAAAATAAAAGCTCGTTACTGGATTCAAATCTGACAGTCCCCAGTTACACCAAAATATAAAATACTATTACATGCCCTAGAGCAGAATCACAATATGAATATATAGAATGAAATTATTTAAAAGAAGAGTAATAATGATAGTAATAACTTATACCATATTATTGACAAAGCATTTTCACACATATTCTTAATACAAAAAATAGGTCATCTGGCCTTATAGATGAGAGAACATAATAATAATTCGATGTTCTTCAGAGTGACATGTATCTAGTAAATGAGAAAAGGTCACAAAGCAAATTTTCTTATTTTATAATTTGCTCTTTGCCTCTCTCCCGGGCTAAACAGGATTACATAATAATATTACTTTAATCATATCAACAGATATTCTAGTAAAGAAATGACCAAGGTTATGAGAACACATGGCTAGATTCTTTACTTAATAGTTCTTTATACATACAACTAATAATGAATTACTTTATTTTTTATTTTTATTTTTATTTATTTTTATTTTTTAATTTTTTTTATTTTTATAATGAATTACTTTAATGAATGAGTTTCCCTCCAAAAGAAACACTCCCATGGATCAGGGGACAGAATCCACAGAAAGCAGTAAAGCCATAATTTCCTTCTACATCCTAGTCAAGGGGTTGCTTGTCCATAGTTGAGAGCAATCAGTAAGGAACAATTCATAAATTTTCAAAAATAGTTTTTTAAAAAAAACATTTCAAATCTCACATATAAGCCACACATGACAGAGTGTGCTTGCAGTCCCAGCTACTGTATTTGGGAGGCTAAAGTGGAAGGATCACTTGAGCTCACAAGTTTGAGATAAGCTCTAGAAAACACAGTAGTAAGACTACGTCTCAAAATAAATAAAAAAATAAATTGTTTAAAATGCACAGATATGTCTGGACTAGGTAGTAGGTGATAAGTATTAGAATAATTATGCATGAAAGTTTTGTAGAAGCCAGACCAGGGGTGGGGGGGAAAAACAGTTGTCTCTGTGTTAGCATAAAGTTGTCTTGGTACCTAGGGTTTTCACATAAACAAACTGAAACTGAACCTGAAGGCATTTCTTGTAACTGACTTTACAAAAAAAAAAGCCTCAGCTAATTACAAGCATCCAAACAACCAACCGGTTTTATAATCAGGGACCGCCCCTCAGATCATACACAAATAAGGCAAAGGTTTAGCTGTATCCAGTCAAGTAATTTCTTTACTTTTGTCACTATCAGCCTAAAAAAGCTTGTTGCTTATGCTGCTGAAATAAAGCTCTCTCAAACTGTTCCAGGTTTGAGTGGTGCTCCAATCCTGAATTGTTTCATTTGCTCAGATAAATTGCGTTAAATTTGTTTTGTCTGAAATTGTCTTTTAACATGTCTAGAACAGACATTCAGTATTTGGAGACAGTATTTAATATGGGCAGATCTACAAAGACAAGATCTATCAAATCTGTCTCCTTCCAGCGCTGATAAATTTAGAAAGATATCACCTTCATTTAAATTCCATACATTTTTTAGATTAGATAAAGTAATTTCCTACCACTTTGTCTGTAATTCAGTATTGCTTGTATTGTTCTTATGCTATTTTGTTTTTTTCTGTTTTTTGTTTTTGTTTTTTTGTTTTTGTTTTTTTGTTTTTCTTCTGGTACCAGGAATCGAACTCACGACCTTGCACTTGCCAGGCAGGCGCTTTGCCACTGAGCTAAATCCCCAGCCCCTATTTTGTTTTTTTCTGGTCCCCGCCCGGGTACCAGGAATCGAACTCATGACCTTGCACTTGCCAGGCAGGCACTGTGCCCCTGAGCTAAATCCCCAGCCCTTATGCTATTTTGTAAATGGATGCCTGTATGTTAATATGTTTTCCTTCTTTTATTTTCAAAATAAATTTTTAAAAAAGATTAGATAAAGTAAATAACAAAAACAATATCCACTGTTCTACTAGTATTTGCTGTTTTGAGGGCCTCTTGTACTTGTCAGGTGTTACTGTTCCACTTTACAAATGAGAAAACTTAAAAGGGCAACTTGCTTGGGTCCCACCTAAGACCTTGCACTCTCTGTACAGTTCTACTCTGATTTCTGCTCACTTGGCAAATGTGTATCATGAGCTACTGCCCCCCAACAAACGTGCATATACAGCATTTTATCCCTTAAAATATAGGACTATAGATGATCCCTATAAACATTTCTAAATTGTTTCTTTACGGTACTTGAAAGAGATTCTACTGTAATCATCCAGATTAACCAAAGTCAGTAGTACTTGCTTTCACTGAAATGCTTAGTATCTTCCAAATTTTGTAGAATCTCAATAGTTTGGGAGGGCTATACATAGTGAATGCTTTTGAAAGTGTTGAGTTACAACAGTTTAAAAATATAAGCATTATTATTTTGTCATTTCAAAACAATTATTTGTTCTCAATCAATAGGAAGCTTTTTATAGTACACAAAAGTGTAATGACATAAATAAAAATCACTTATAATTAAACGCTAAGCGCGCAGTTTGAGCTCTCACCAGCTAAGGACTTCCAGTCATGCTAGGCTTTTGCTTTGCAGCACTTGGGCACCTTCCTTATTGTTACAAAGCCAGCTATAAAATGTGATAAAATCAAATTTCTATACCTATAAGGGAGAAAGAAGATGGGATAACAGCTCTTGCCAATCTAAGTCCAAGTGTGAAAATAGTGGTAAGTATTACTGTGTCTTTGAAAATTAAAAAAATAAGAATGCACACAGTTTATTTTAGGGAAAGACATTCGAAAATACAGTTGTGATGATGGCACCACCCTGTGAATATGCTAAAAAAATACTGTCTGCAATTATGGGTCAATTGTACGGTTTCTGAGTTATTCTTGGATAAAATTTTAAAAATCATGACGCTCATTTAGAACTCAAAACTTGTCCTTCAACCTGAAGAGAAGGCCACCGAGATCACTATTTGCACAACAAGGGACAGCTGTGGCAAAATCATGAACAATAAAAAGTGTATCTTGGTGCCCTCTGGATTTTCATGTAGCTCAGCTCTCTCACTGTGCAGCCACAGGTACTGAGCAAGCCACGTTCCTGAGGGGGGCCTCCTGAGGACAGGGAAGCTTCTAGTTAGGTCAGCATCCTTCAGCACACACCACAATTCCCCAGCTACAGCGAGGACTGGGAACCACTGGTTTTGAGGGGAGATTTGTGGGCACCACAAATGGTAGTTCTGCTCCTCAGACCACCTCATTGAGGCAATGCCTCCTGCAGTTCTGGCATCCTCCTGAGCAAACTGATTGCTTAGTAAAGGGGCACAGTGCCTATGTTCACCCCAGAATCTCCTGTCCAGTTCTGAGCCTTGCCTTGTTTGTGGAGCATCACAGCTCCATATCTACACAGGTTTCTATTTTCTTAGTAAAGGAAACAAATTAGCACTTTATTGTACATTGCCTTTCCTACTAATAACTTCCTAAATGTATATCTTGTCTTCCCAACAAGTTGGTAAATTGCATTTGGCTTTTCTCGCTGTAGCTGTTGAATTGTGACGTGTGCTGAAGGATGGACCCCACTGCTAACCTAACGAGAAGTTTCCCTGTCCTCAGGAGGCCCCCTGGAACGTGCCTTGCTCAGTTTCCCCCCTTTTCTCTGCCTTTGAGGGCCTCCTTAGTACACATTGTCTCCTGCAGGCCAAGCCAATTATCCTTCCAGCTTCTTCAGGCTAACCCTGCATCTGTGTCCTTGCAGCCTAGGGTGGGTAGCAGCGTCCTGTAACTTCGTGTCTCTGCATTGTCTCACCTTCCCTGCTGGTTTCTCTGCCTTACCCTATTACCTGGGTAACAAATTTCTTATATTACATTCCTTTTGTCTTAAATACTCAAAGATTTCCCTGTCTCTTAGTTGACTGATAAACTCGGACAGGACAGAAAGAGAATGGGTTTAGCAGGGCAAGTAATTTAATCTTTCAGTTTCTTCTCAAAATGGAGTGGATGGTGCCTATCCCTAGGGCTGACGTAGTTATGAACAAAAGCTAATGTTAAAAAGGAGCCTGGGCCAATGTGTGGTTCAATTGAGAATACAATAAAAGCTATTCCACTCCCTCTTTTTCCCTGGTACTGATATGATTGTGGTGAATTCTGAGACAGTGAAATGAAGGTGAGAAGTAAGTAAACATTTGAAGGTGTCATGTGTAAGGTTATACACATTAGAACAGAAGAATTTAGGTTTGGCTTTTCTTA